GAGACCCCCATGAGAGAAGGGTGCAACAAAGCAGGGGCATGCAGACCTTTGTGACTTCAAAGCCATCCTAGTCTATATATGTAGCTATAGGACAGCCAGGGGTACACAGCAAGATATCATCTCCAAGGAGGAAGAAGGAAAGGGAGAAGAAAAGGGATAGTTTCTCTCAAGAGTTTGTCACATGAACTAAAACTAGCTACCATGATGATTAACAGAATAATTTAAGGTCTCAGCATCCCAAGAACTGGCAAAGCAGCAGACTGGCAAGAACCAGCATGTGTATGGTATGAGATTTAAACTGGCATGACGACTTTGGGAGCTGTCTAAACGCTGAGGTAATGTTCAAGACAGGCTCACCCAATGACTCAGAAGTCTCAGTCTTCCGCACACACTAGACCACACACTGGAATCTTCTCAGCATATTGACTGATAAGACTGACCAAAACTAGAAACAAAAAACAAGAGGAAGACAAAGAAGATGAAGAAGAAAGTTTAATTTAGTACAGAAATGAAATGGGATGAATAAAAGTCACTTGCAATCTGGCTGCATCTTATGGACAAATTAAAAAAATAGCTAGGTGGTAGAGGTGCACACCCTTAGTCCTTGAAAGGCAGAGACGAGCAGATCTCTGAGTTCAAGGCTAGCATGGTCTACAGAGTCTTAGGACAGCCAGGACTATACAGAGAAACAAAAACAAAAAAATAAGGAAAATAGTATCGATAATAAAAGTATAAACAAAAGTCAGAAATTATTATCACAGAAGTTGGAACACTAGTGACTTCTAATGGAGAGGTGGAGTGGGTTAGGACCACTGCTGGGGTGGGTGATGCTGCAGTAACCTGTAATGGAGAGTTGGGGTGGGTTAGGACTACTGCTCAGGAGTGATACTGGAGTGGGAGCAAGTTTCTATCTTTTCACCTTCATGGTACATGGGTGTACATTTTAATTATTGGCTAAGAATGCACGTGCATTTTAATGCATGGATAACATTGCAATTAAAATGTGTATTTGTGTGACTGTGCGAGACAAAAAGACAGAGATTGATTGTTAGATGGATTCATTTGGTACCAATAAACTTACTCACCAGAGCAAGGATTTGTTTAGAAAAATGTGTTGAAGATGAGAAAATATGCACTCAGTTATAAGAAGAGAAGTCTTTCTACATAGTTCAAACCTGGACAAGGATTTCGATGCTATAGTGCGATTGCATGGAAGCATCTTCACCCAGCAACTGCCTTTGTTGTTGCATTCTTGGGGAACCCTCAGTGGTCCATAGTGACTCTTGAAACAACAACCTTCCTGTTTTCTCTGAGAAGTAGAAGATTCTAGGATGACATATTTCTGGAATTTCCTTCTAACTGAACCTTCCTGTATTACGGAGAAGAGAATGACTCTTATCCCTTCACTTGGCATCTTTCTCTGTCTTTAATGTGAAAAGCACTAAAGTGAAAGGGAATGATAGCCTAACTTTGCTTTGTGTTTGTAGATGTTAGAGATATGTACTTGCTCTATGCTGCTGCAGGCATACAATCTTGGCTTTGTCCTGCATAGTTACAAGACAAGCAGTAATTTTACAGCTATATATAATCTAACTGTAAATAGTACTGAATTATCTGAGCAACTTTTAAACTCCTCCAAAGACAAGCAAACATAAAACTTAAAATTACTGCTGAGAAAACACACACACACACACAGAGAGAGAGAGAGAGAGAGAGAGAGAGAGAGAGAGAGAGAGAGAGAGAGACTAGAATTATTTCCTTTAACAGGAACAAACACAGTTCTACAGTTCTAGTCAGGCAAAAAACATCTGTGTGTTCTGGGAGCATAGTGACAGTGAATACTTGAGTAAAATAAAGTTAAGGAACTTGAGGAGCCTTTCTGGGAAGAATCTGTAGCTGAACCCATAAATAGAGTAAATGCATGCCTTCTGGTCATCACATGGCTAATTTGGAACAATTGTCTAATCCTCCTGAAGATAAACATATTATATTGCAGCAGTTGGGTTTAAATATGAGGAACAGGTGAAATTAGGCAAGAAGAAATAGAGATTGTGAAAAAATATACCCGAGATGATTATGTGATAAAACAATATTCTAGGAAGTGAAAAATCTCATAAAGGCATTTTAGACTTCTGTTAAGTGTGTTCTTTGGCAATTTCATGAATATGGAATGTTCATTCTGATTGTTATAAATACCACTAAGAGTCTCACTGCCCTGCCAAAGCTTCCTCCTGCCTATTCTATTCTCCTCCTCTGCACAAGTCCTCTTCCCACATCCATGACATTTTCCTTGTTGTTTTGAGGCCCACTGAGTTAAACCAAGATCTCCTGTGTGACCATGGGCTTGGTACTGACCACAGAAGTCTGATCAGCTCCCCAGTGGGTATACTGCTGAAGACCATGACTGCCCCAGAGTCACCAGGAGCCTGCGGTTCAGCAGACACTCTTGGTGCTGAGGTGCTGAGCTCTGGTGAGGGATGCTGTGCCCTCCCTGTGGTGGGTGGGTCACACCATGCCAGATCAGTAGTTCAGTTCTCTTTATATTCCTGAGATGGAGTCAGGTGAATCAAACTCAGAGGACAGGAGGGACAGTAGCACATGCTGTGCTTGACTTTTCTGTACTACAGCATAGAGAATTCTTAAAAGTTCTGTAACACATCCTTGCACAATATAGAAAGAGACTTTCAGACTTTATAGATCTAGGGGCGGTTCTTTTTCATCTGGGGACTAGGACTGGTGAAATGTATCTTGCCCTTGGTTGTTGGAAAGATCAAATAAGTAATGAGTTGTGAAAATACACAGTAAATCACAGACAAACCATGAGTCTGCTGGTGATTGCACCCTGTTTTCCCAGCATCCTTTGTTGTGGACACAGTTCTAACCTTGTTGTTGGATCATGTGGCCCTATAATCATCAGTGGTAGGAGGCACAGTGGGAGATGAAGAAGCTAAATAGGAAAATACGAGTGGCTTGGTTCACACACTTTACTAACCACACCCTCCGTTAGATTCATAACTGGGAAAATGTTCTGACCATTGTGTGGGAACAGAAACATTTCTAAGCAGTCTTTCCATTAGCTCTGAGTTCTCTTACTATGGCTTTTAAAATTAAGATACAGGGCTAGTATGAAGGAGGACTCTTACTCTGAAACAACCTCCTTTTTTACAGAGTAGCACCTATTGAGTCCTGGGTGAGTTGAGTGCTGTGCAATTTGGTTTACTTGGTGTTTCTTGAGAGCAGCAGGACTGAACAGGTCTTCCAGATGGTAATATTTTGTAAAACATAATGTATCTTTGAATGAAGTGTGGATATGATTGTCTAGCAAGAGACACTTTCTAGGCCTTTCCAGGGGAGAAAACACGTCTTTTGTTGCCATAAAAGGCTGCTGATCTGAACACATGAAAAGGTGAGCTCAAGGTCACAGTTGAAGGGGATTTTTCATTTCCCTTTTGAGACTTTCCAGGCTATGGAGGGGAGTCTTTGAAGCTGAAGGCCATTAATATATGCGTTGGCACTTCACAGAGCTGCAACCAAGGGTGACCAGACTAGCTTGTCTTACCACCAAAGAGCTCCAAGGGAACACTTGAGTTGGGATATGTCTTTGTTGTGGAAAACTATCCTGATCATTGTAGGATGCTTAGCAGAATCCTGGCCTCCACTCAGAGATGCCAGAATTGTTCCACAAGCAGTGATGGCACAAACTGTCTTCAGACTTTGCTGAAGGATCCTTGAGAGACAATGCTGCTTTTGGTTAAAAAGCACTGTATACAAGTTACTCATTTAATTTACTGTTCAAAAATGTTCCATTTGATTTTGAAAGGGCATGGCTATGCAGGAATGTGGCAATATTTGATAACACTTGATAATTTATAAAATATAAAATATTTCTGTATTCAATACTGTGGAGGAGAAAGAAGAAAAAATATATTGGGTATTTACTACCTATTATCTGTCAAAAGTCTTACTTCAAATACATTCTCACTTTGCCCCCAGCAGATTTGTCCATGGAATCACTGTCCCTGCTTTTATAGAAGAAACACTTTTCTCCAGGGAGTTAGCTCTGCTCATCTGACTTGGGGATTTACTGCTCTTCATCCCACACCCTTACAGGTGAAAGCAACAGTCAACTATCTGTGTGTCAGAAGTATGCATATTGTAAGATCCCAAGTCATTTTTAGGCCACAGTTGTGCTTTTTCTGTTTTATTAGTTAAGAGTTCATCCATAAACTACCACATTGCAGCATATATTGTTTGGGGACCTCCTGAAGCTTCATGTGGAACTAGATCCTCAGTGTGACTGCATCAATGTCTGGTGTCTGGCTTTTAGAGGTGGGAACTAGTGTGTATTACTGGTTGTCATTGCAGATATGGCACTAGGAAGAAATTGATTTAGTTCCCATGGAACTCCAGTTAACTTTCGGAAAAAGTTGGGGGCTGATGAATGGCAAGATTTCATTGTTATTTACAGCTGCATACAACTTCACTAGAGACATGCATTTTCTTCCACGTGTTCTCAGTTCTGAGCATCTTGCTCCTGGGCTCAAATCCACCACCATCAGTTTCATCCACCTCCTTTCTCGGTAACTCTTCCTCTTCCATGATCCCTGAGTCCTTTCCCCTTTAGGACTTAGAGGGCAGGGGAGTAGCTTGCCATGCTCTCTTCATGCTGGCACATTTGAAGGCCGGTTCAACAATTTTTCCAGATAGGAAGCTATCTGCTCTCACTCATATAGCTCTGAAGTGCGATTTCTCTCTCTCTCTCTCTCTCTCTCTCTCTCTCTCTCTCTCTCTCTCTCTCTCTCTCTCTCTCTCACTGTCTTCATAAGTTTTCCAAGGCTCTGTAACTAGAATTCAGTATAGAGAGTTGTTTTTCCACTGATAAGATTCCATAACCAACTTCCACAAACATCTTAAAGAAATTGCAAAGCAATATAATCTTTTAAGTTTTCAAATACTGAAACATAAAATACACACTGAAAAACAGACAATTCACAAATATATAGCTATTAACTTTTATTAACTGGAAATACTTGTGTAACCAGCATCCAGAATGAGAAATAGAATCTTATGAGTGTGCCAGACATCTCTGTCCCTTTACCAGTCAGTGTAACACTTTTAATTATGAAGCTCCTTGTGCTGAGTAATACAGTTTTACAACTGTTGCATCTAGTAGCAGCTCCAGCCCACCCTGGTTTATATAATGAGACCTGATGTCAAAATAAAAAGGTTATACACGAGGCGCAATTGCTTATATTAGTCTGCACTCTGGTCATTGGAAATGCAGCTGCTGTGTTAATATTGTCGATTAGAGGTTTGAGAGGGAAAGAGAGAAGTCTGGGGTTTCTTAATATCAGTCTGTCTCCTGCACCGCCCATCAGTTTCAGGTGGAGTTCTTTCCCAGTCACTGAAGAACCTCTAATTGTTTGCTGGTTCTGTTAGTCGGCAGTCCATCCCCTTGACAAGGTACCCCAGATCAACCCAGAAGGGAAGGCTTATTTTGGCCTGAGGTTTCAGAGGTGTCATCTAATACTGTCTGGCTTGTAAGAGTTCAATTGAAGCTGTCCCTTGACACCCCTCCTCATTTTTTACCTTGGCCTCTCCCTAATCATTTGTACTAAGAAAGAAAGTCTTCCTAGGTTTTAGTTAACTAGCCACAGGAGGCCAAATCCATTGCAGTGTGCCTGCTAGGGAAGAGAGAGCACATCCCTCTGAATGAGGAGCATCTCCTTGCCCAGCACACCGATTTCTTCCTTGCCACCTCTCTGTTTAATTGGTCCCTCCTAGCATGGCTCTTTCCACACTGAAAGCCCCGGAGGTGGCAGTTTTGATGAAAAAGTCTCTCCTGTTTTCTCCAAGGCAGCCCTTAATAAATCTATTTCCTTCCACCAGCTTCAATCTGGTTGAGCAGGGAGCCATTCAACTCTTAAGCTCCATTAACAAGCCTATTACTTTGGGGGATGTGGTGAGTGAGGCAGGGCATCCTCACCTTATGGAAGCCAGGAATACAGAGGAGGAAGAGGTCAGGGTCCCACTAGGCACCCTCAAGTGTACCATCCAGGGTCTTAGTCACTGGGGCCTGGGTATGCCTCACTCAACCCTTTGATATTTCCCAGCCTAACTCTTGCTAGTTCTTGCAAGAGGGTTGTTATGAAAGGATCCACCCCAGCCCCTTCTGGGGTCTCTCTGTTGTCAGTCCCAGATATACCTGTTTTTGCCCACAGTCATGTTGCCAAACGGAAGACCCTGTCATGAAACTTTGTTAGGATGCTTAAACTTTGAGCACCCCCAAAAAAGACCTGGGATCTAAATCATAACCTGTATTGGATATTTCATGATAGTAATGCATAGCATCAAGGATAGTGTCTAAATTCTACCCCTTCTTTATGTCCCTTTCTCTTCAGGTGTCAATAAATTTTGTCTTCTGTTTTAGTTGGTCTTTAAATTCATTTTAGCTCCATATTTGTCTGTGTAGAGAATAGAATGGCTATCACATTTGTTGATTTACTCCCACTCCAGACTTTCAAGAAATATCTTTGCTAGAAAAAGCATAATCCCTGGTAAAGCTCTTCCATTAAGTCCAGCTTCAAGATAATTCCAAAACAATCAGTTCTTAAGTTTCCATAAAAAAAGTCATGGAGCCCAGCAGCGCTGGTGGAGCATGTCTTTATTCCCATAACTTGAGAGGCAGAGACCAGCCTGGTCTACAGAGTGAGTTCCAGGACAGTTAGAGCTGTTACACAAAGAAACCCTGTTTCGAAAAACCAAAACCAGAACAACAACAACAGCAAAACCCATGAAGAATGTCTGCCATTGGTAGCAATCACGACTGATGGGACTGACTACACTAGTAAGAGCCACTACCTCCAGAGGACTGTCCACCGTGCAAGCTCCCCACAACCCACCAACCATGCCGAGGGAGCTTTAACTCATTCCATGTCACAAAGGAATAAATCGAGGCTCAAAAACCTGAATGGCTTGCTTCTGACCACAGCAAGTGAGTGGAGCTTTGAAGTCTGGTCTGTCTGATTACTGCTGCCTCCATTAGGTTGTCATTTCATATTAAGGTGCTAAAACCTCTCAGGCCCCTGGTGCTTTTATGCCAGCCTTGGATTCCCGACACCTTCCCCAGGCACATTTCATCTGAAGTTTGCTTCTTTCCTTCAGCATCCACATAAAGACAGTCACTGATTATTCTCCCAGAGTCCTGCCTTCCTCTAGGAGACAGACACCCAAAGTAAAAACAATGCCGTGCTCTGTGCAGATTTATGAATTCATCTTTGGTTCTTCCTGGGCTAACAGTCATTTTATGAGAGCCTTCCAGAGACCATTTCCAAGCTAAGAATGACTCTGATACTGGAGTTTCACACAGCTTGAAGGAAGTGATACCTGGGGAATTTTCAGCGATTTCCTGGATGAACTGAGCAAGAATCTTTGGTCGAAGAGTAAGAGTAGCCCATTTACAATATATTTCGAGTATAATTAACAAAGCATTAGAAATAGAGAGGTGATAAAACCTTTCTTCCTTTAATTTCTTAGGCTGAGGACCTATGTATTAGACTGATCAAAGGGACCTATGTATTAGACTGATCAAGAGGGAAAGAGTTTATTAACACCTGGAGTAGGCATACACATGTGAAAACACATATGGCACGCTCTCAGGGGTGATTAGAAATTGTTTTTTATAACATCTTGACAAAGAACACTCAGTTTGTACAAAGGTGAAGGATGAGAGATATCTTTAGGATTTGAGGGATGAAATTATCAGAAGGTAAGTATGTAGAGAAAACAAACAGAATCTTGTCACATAGTTGTTTGGCTGGTTACTGTGGCTCAATTTCTGACTATCCACTTCCTCCCTGGCCACAAAGCTTCTCCAGGAAAGGGTATTTATAGCAGTCTTCTCTTTTTTAGTCTTCATTGCTCAAAAGTGTCTCCTTCTAGTCATATAAGAGAAGCTCTGGGAAGAAGTCCTCTGCCTCTGTTGATTTTAAACGCTTTCAGATCAAACCAATCCTCATGTCAAAGTGCCATGTATTAGAATAGAATTCTGTGATTGCCTACAAAAATACCAAAGACCAGATGAATATGTAGATTTATGGAACACAAAATATAGCACTATAAATGAATAAAGAGCTAAATCTTTCAACTTAGTTAAAACCCCCAAACCTAACCTTGGATGAAAAAGGAAAATTGCAGGAAGATATATTAATTTGATGACATGAAATTTAAAGTTCTGTAGGACAAATTTAAAAATACATAAGTAGGAAACAATACATAACATAGTGTACGGACATAACAAACACTGAATATAATAGCAATCACATCTGGGTGACAGGAAGAGAGTCAGGGGTGATCACCAAGCGTCTCTAACCTGTCTTCAGTGTTAAATGACTTATAGTAAAATATCTAACATGTTTATTTCATTGATAAATCTGGGTATTCATAATGGTTATCACATGCTCCTCAGATGTGTATTTTTAAGTACCTCACGAATTGCTTGTAAAAGGGAATAATACACCGACTCCTCTCCTAGAAGGATCTATGAGTATCTGAGTCTGGCTTTATCCCAAGGGACATTAGGTGCTTGCTATCTTCACCTCTTAGCTCTCCTTTCTTCTCTCTGGAGTCTTTACTAACTCAGGTCCTTTCTAGTGATAACACAAAAGTTCCTCATACCTCCAGGCTTGTCTTAATTTGCTGGCATGCCTTGGAAAATAAACTCCTCCACCTTTTTTTAAAGTTTCAGTAAGTGTTTAAGGATTTCATTCCATGGAATTGAGTTGTATGCCCTTCCTTAGATTTAACTATTATTTACCAGGGGAGTGAGTTATCAGCTAGGCCTTGGTGATATGTTAATATGTCATTCTAAGATTTGTGAAATAGCAGATAAACTTATCTCAGGTGACACTGAGGGAGAGGTTTTGCAAGAAAAGCAGAGTATTCTAGTTGCAGGAGAGAAGACATACTTTTGGTAATAAGTAACAACTGATATCTATTACAAAAAAAGGAACAAAAATGATTTATTATTATTACCATTATCTACCATATTGTTTCCAAACATGATTTCATGTTAATGGAGACAGAGGCAGATATATACAAATATAAAACATGAGATAATTGTTCTACCAACAAAACACACACTCACAGTCAGTCCAGTTTATGGACAAGGAGAACCTGATCTAAAGTACAAGGACACAGGCTTCTTTGGAACAGGGAAGTGTGAGCAGTAGGTACACAGACAGGTTCTTCTAAGAATTTTCTCAGAAGGAAAGAAGGACAGTACACAGCCCCAAGGCAGCAAGGCTGGCGAGAACACACCTGGAAGCATGTTCCAGCCAGCTGGTTTTACCTCTGAGGGACTGACCCCTCAGTACACAGATGGAGGAAGGCCAGGCATCTGAGTTGAAGAGGGGTTGGTACAGTCCCAAATCTATTCTGATGTGCCAATGCCACTGCTTCCTGCTACACTGGGTTATATGTGCTCACTGTATCACACTGTAGAGAGCAGTGGGACAAGACATCTGATATGGTACTGGGCTGGCTCACTATGGGTTTGTGGAGAGAAAGGGTAAGTAGCCTCTTTGTGAACAGCTGATTCTTTAACAATATAACTGGGTTGAGACTAGCATGGGCCAGTCCTGACACTGTTTCCCTGGGTATCAAAGATTATGAGTAGAAACATAGCAATATAATACAAACCAGTCATAAGAGATTTTTAATACCCATGATTCATATAGATACCAGAGCAGAAAAACCACCAAGAATAAAGAATACCACATAAAGACAAAAGTGTCAGTTAATCAAGAATACAAAAGATGTTTACACATGCTTAACAATGCAGCTTCAAAATGCTGACAGAATTCAAAGGAGATATAGATATTTATACTTGGATATTTTAATACTTTTTTTATAGCAGGCACAACACTAACAAAGCTAGGAAAGGGCTGAACAGCACCCACCAACTGGATCAAATAGATATTTACAGAACTTCAAAATCAGGGTATCCACTGCTTTCAAGTGCACATGGAGTGTTTGCCAACACCGGAGACACACTAACCCACTAAAGAGATCCCAGTATGTTTAAAGTAGATACAATCATAGAAGAAGAATCAAATAGAAACCATCAATGAAAGTAGAAGAGTCTCCGAATGCGTGGGAGTTAAGTGTTTTGAAGTAATACAATTCACAGGTCAAAAATGAAATCCTAAGAGAAATAAGAAAAGGTTTTTGAAATAAAGCACAGTGAAAATAAACCACTTTGAATTCCTGGAGTGTAACTGCATTAATGGGTAGCAAGAATTTTTTTCTGGACTATAGTGATTATGTTAGAAGAAAGCTGCCAAACTAGCATCAACAATTTCCTTATATGAAACCATAAAAACAAGAATAAAATAATCTCAAAGCAAATAGAAGCCAGGAAATAATAAGAGTTATCAGTGGAATTGAAAACTGAAAAACCAAAGAAAACCAATAATGCAAAAGATAATTTTTTGAAAAGATCAATATATTTTATAAACCTATAGCAAATAAAAAGAGAGGGAAGGAGGGACAGAGGGACAGAATGAGGGATGGAGGGAGGGAGAGAGGAAAGGGGAAGGAGCATGAAGGAATGGGGAGGACGGAGGGAGGGAGATCTGCAATCCCAGTACTCACGAAGTTGAGGCGGGAAGACTACAAGTTCTAGAACAAAGAGAAAAAGGTTAAATTCGCAATTTACTAGTATCAGGAAAGATATAGAAGAAACCACTATGTATGTTTCACACAATGAGAGGATAATGAACTGCTCTATTTATATAAGCCTGACAGTTTGAATGAACTGGTCTAATTATGAAAAAACAAAACAAAAACCAGCAACCACTAAACTGACTCCTGGAGAGATGTACTCCAAGTTGCCAACAGTGAATTATTTAATATTGTTATGTGACTGTTTGAGTTATCTACTTCAACAGCACTTAGCTCCAAATAAGACATCTGTATCATACCCTTCCCCCAAAGATCAAAGGTCATCATATAAAGGGCAGAAAGACTGTAAGAGCCAGTGTTACCGGATGTCTTCAGCAAACATTTACTGGACATGACAGTGTTATTGCACATATGAACTGACAATGTTTGGGACTGCATGCATAAGACTTACACAAGATGAAGCCAGAAAAACAATTCAGCGTATACAGGGAAGGGGATCATTAAGTCCATGCCTAGCCAAGAAGATATTGACAACTGATGGCTACTGGGAGGGGGAGAAAAAGTTTTCTTTAAGGATGCAGTTCCTGAATGACTTCCCATGTTCCACTAGGTAGCCCTACACTCATGCACATACAAGTACTAAGTGGGCTTCATTTATTTTTTAAAGAGAGAGCACATAAAATTGGTAGGTAAAGGGGGGGAAACGGGGGAAAGTTGGGGAAGAAAGAAGGGTTCATTTGATCAAAACACATTGGATTTATGTATGAATTCTCAATAAGAAATTTTTAGAAATTTCAAGTTTTACTGATGAATTTTATGAAGACTAACAAAAAGGAATAACTTCAATTTTACTAAATTTCTAAAGAACAACATGAATAACAAGTTCACCCAAATTTATATATATACTGGTGAATTTTATGAATATTTAGGAAAGAATTAAGAGTAATGTGTGTAGGCCATTTTTCTAGAACCTTTCAAAAAATAGAAGGACATCCTACAATTTAGCTTATTAAGTCATCATTATCCTGATACTAAAACTAAAACAACAACAACAACAAGAAAAAACCAACAAAGCCGGAGAAAGTTAGAATCAATATTCATTAAAATGTATATTAAGTCAAGAAAATACTAGTAAACTGAATTTACTAAGAATAAACAAATAAAGAAACCCAGTAACTTGATGGTAACTGTGCCTTATCTAGGGATGCAAAATTGGAACACTGGGGAAAATCAGCCCATGTAATACATTGTATTAGCAGGAACATGTCATACCAACCAAAGCAAAAGAAGCATTTAACAAGTGCAACAGCCAATCAAAGTAGAAATGTAGAAACATTCAGTTTTTATCTAAAACATATCCCCTTCAATCATGTGTCACTGTTTCCGTAACACGCAAGAGCTTCACTGCCCTAACGCCCTCTGCACTATACTCACTTCACTGCCCTAACGCCCTCTGTACGAAAACAATTTTATTTATTTTTGTTTATGTGTGTGCATCATGTTCTGAGAAGTGGGGGGTGAGGGTGGTGAGGGTGGTGGGGGTGGGAGGGGGTGAGAATGTGCCTGCCCACAGAGGCCACAAGAGGGCTTTGGATCCCTGGGGAGTTCTAGTTATAGGAAGTTTTGAGCCACTGGATATAGGTCAGAGATCCAAACTATGGTCCTCATGGTTGAGCAGCAGGCATTCTTAACTGCCAAGCCCACTTTCCAGCCCTTCCCAGTCTTTTTTCTGTCTTAATAGTTTGTCTTCTGTAGAACGTCACACATTACAATTAGCATGTGGCATGAAGAGAAATTTTTATTGTAACAGTGTTTGGCTAGTGCCCATGAGGTTCTGGATTTGAGTCTCATCCCAAAACAAGGAGGCGTAAGGGAAGAGAGAGAGAAGAAAAGAGGAGAGCAGAAAGACAAGGGAGCAGGAAAAGGAGGACAGGGAAGGAATACTGGTAGAGTTTTCACACTGTCAGCAGATAATAGCTTCAGAAGGTAGTGGGAAACACTACGCTAGGGTACAGATCAATCAATCATGTCCAAAGGATGCAGATGAACCTGCCTCTTTTCCAGTTATTCAAAGACAATGGTGCGCCCCAGAGAAGCAAACCATCAAGGGCAAATCATCCCTCAGCTCTGTTTTCTTTCTTTTCTGCCATACCAAATCCAGCACATTCTGTGTGACAAGTTTCACAGACTGAGGTGATAACTTCAAAAGAAGGGAGGTCTCCTGGAAACCATTGTGGAACTCTCAGTCGGAGAAAAATACTGAGCTGTAGTTCTCATGGCAATCTCTTTTCTTCTATTCTTCTCTCATTAACAAGATGTTTCTGAAAGTCTATGCTGACATCTCAAACAAGATATAAATGAGAACCGTCTCCTGAGATGTGGTCACTGACCATGACCTGGTCTCCAGGAAAACCAGCGCATTTCGAATCATTCATGCCAGTCACATAAGTAAATAGTAATAGTATTGATAAAAACTTTCCCAACAATAAAATTTCATATGACGGCACATGTGTGATCGAGAGTGGTTTTAATGTTTGGTAAAGAAAGCTTTTCAATAAAAGCTTTTTAATAAGAAAAGTTAAAATAGCTTAGTATTTCAAAGACTCACAAAAACTAGGTAACAGATATCAAACAATAACTGACCATAACAATCTATTAACCTGATAACCTGATCTTAGAAATAGGTGGTTAGGTCTGAATGATTTTCTGATCTGTTGTTGGATAAGTTGTATGTCTGTGCCTGTAACAATGATGTCACTTGGGTATTGCTTCACTGAAAACACCCCCTGAGATGATATTTGTTTTCATTATAAAAAGGCTTGCTTGAGAACTGCAAAATTCACTCAGATTCAAACTGCCCCGTGCTTGTTTCTGTTTGTCACCGCCAAATCCTTACCTACCTTATCTTTGAGAACCCTCATCCCAGGGACCCCCATACCCTGTTGGAGAGGTCCATGGCACTTTTATTTCCTTCCTTCCTTTTGTTTTTTGTTTTGCTGCCTATCATGAAAGGACGAAAACCACAACTTTGTCTAAACTTTTAACTGGGCTTATTTTCAGTGTTAGAATAGGTAACTTTTGCTTTGTTTGCTTTGGCGGAGTAAGTATGTGGATGGGCTAAGCTGAAGTGTGCAGGTTGGGCTGCAAAGCACAAACAGACAAGAGGCAACTACTGACTTCAGAGTTATCTGACCCATGAAGTGAGGACAGAGAGACACGCAGACATTGGGCTACTTTGGGCTAATTTTTTATGTAAGGACAAGGGTAAGGAAACTTCCTGATCATGCTCAGTTAAGCTAGCCTGCTTGGGAAGCTGGCTGTCCTCTGAGCTGGACTCCTCATACTGTTGAATACTTACTAGTTTCTGCTTAGGGCATGCAATTTCAGCAGGAGTGACTCCATCTTGATTTTTAGTTGGTCCATTGGGACCTAATACAGCAGCTCCGTTCAGAACACTATCCTGCCTGTAAGCTCCGGAGGAGCTATTGGACTGTTGGCTGCTGGGTGAGGAAAGGTCAACTTTTTTCAGGGCTGTTGCTGGCACATTGCCCATGCCCCAGGGAAAGGCCCCATATCTGTGCACTGACTGGACTCAGTGGGTTATAAAAAAAAACCCACACTTTATTCATATGTAAAATTTCAAAGAATACATACAATGTTATTAAAACAAAACCAAAAACCAAAAAATGCTGCCCTGAATTTTAGAATCATAGCGCTAAAAAAGTCCTGAAAAATTTGCCTCCAAAGTTAACTTTCACATAAAATTTAGTGATGTAAACCTAACTCATTTCCTGCTGACTTCTTTCTTGAATTTTCTTTCTTATCAGTGGCACTAAGATGGGAAACACTGGAAAAACATTTGGTATCTCAGTCTTCCTTTTTTTCTCTCTTCTTCACTGGCCATGGAACAATATTCCCATTTTTTATAGGCATCCCCTTATTGCCAGCAGCCCCACCCTACAATATGGGGCTTCTAGACAACTTCCTATGAGGTTCCTATGCCTTTATTCCTCTGTCTCCCTAGTTCTGGCTGTGTACACACCTTTTTCCATTAAAAGATTATATTTTACTTGTACCTCTGATGTCTAAAACTTTGGATACTAACACTACCCTTAACATAAAGCACCAACCCCTTCGATTAGGAGTCAATGCTGTACTCAGCCAAGCTTGTCGTTTCCTAAATGTTGCTTTTAGTGAGGTCAAGTCTTTGTCTGTATTTCTAAAATTTACAGATAGCTCCAGCATTTGCTATACATCCCTTTATTTTTTTCTATGTAGCACCATTTTCTGAAGTACTATATGCTTAGTTACTTCATTCATTCACTAGTCTTCCCCAGAGATATCTCGTTAGAGCAAGGTTTCTTTAATAGCAAAAGGAGAGTGAAGAATCAGTGTGAGAATTGAGCTGTTTTCCATTTGTTCCTACCGTGTGGACATTTCTATTCTAATAACAGGTAAGGAAACTATATTGTTTCAAATCCTTGGGGTCGGTTTGAGATTTTTTTTATCAACAAATAGTTTGACACAAATGAGACCGGAGATCTCCCAAGAACTACAAAAGGGAGAAAGGATGGAAGGGAAGGAGGGAGGAAACTTTTAAAAGCAAGTTCTTCAGAGCAAAGATTGCATTAAGTGCTGAAGACAAAATAATGAGCGGACATCATGTAACTCTGCTTTTAAGAAGCAAATGTTGTGGGGCTGGAGCCCTTGCTGCTCTCCCAGAGCATCCAAGTATAGTTGCCAGTAACCATGCTGGGTGGCTCTCAGCTGCCTGTCACTCCAGCTTCAGAAGAGCTGGACTCTCTTACACCCTCGGCACTCATGTTCTCTCTCTCTCTCTCTCTCTCTCTCTCTCTCTCTCTCTCTCTCTCTCTCTCTCTCTCTCTCTCACACACACACACACACACACAGAAAAGAAGCACAAACAGACAGTTCAACACAATTGCAATACTGTGGGATACATACTGCCACAAGAACACAGGACACTAGCAGAATTTCTCAGAGAAGCAGGTAACACAGCCCTGCCGGGGGTGGAGGGAAGGAATAATCCAGGGAAAGAGACTGAAGAGGGGGAATGTGAAGGAGCTGTGTGACTGTGTGGAGGGGGAAGGGGCCAGGACAAGCACTCCTCCAGTCAGAAGAACTGTGCACAAGGCTCCTGATCACTGAGAATACCTTTTCTGTTTGACTGGAATAGAAAACTCAAGGCACAGATGAAGAATATCAACAGATGAAGCTGAAGTGATAACGGGATGTCTTAAGTCAGCATTTAAAAGAATTCACTTGGCTGCAGTATTATAATGAGGTGAGAAGAAACTAAAGGCAGGGTTCCTGTTGCGCAGCTGACATGGTATTGAGCTCACAGATAAACACTGAATAAGTGATTTCAGGCATGCTGGAACTGTGAGAACTGAGAGGATGTGGGAGTGAGGGGAAGGAAATTAAATGGGTGTTAATGTTACTCATTATGAAGGAAGTCAAGATAAAAACACACAATGAGGAGAAGATAACGAGTTCAGTGTCGACCTTGGTCCATGGCAGTTTTTCTTGGCACACACCCAGGAGATACGTTGGAGTTGTGTGTGTTGGCCTGAGCTTGAGGAGAAATATCTAAGCCAGAAATATAACTGTAAGACTCATCAAAGTAAATGGAAGCAGTGTTGATTTGAGGGACAGCACACACACACACACACACACACACACACACACACACACACACACACAGAGACAAGATAAAACTAGTGGAAGAGCCAAGCAGCAAGAAAATCTCCAAACGATAAACAGAACTGCACACACACAAAAAGAAAACAAGAAATGTCCACACAGTAGGAACAAATGGAAAACAGCTCAGTTCTCACACTGATTCTCCACTCTCCTTTTGCTATTAAAGAAACCTTGCTCTAACGAGATATCTCTGGGGAAGACTAGTGAATGAATGAAGTAACTAAGCATATAGTACTTCAGATGGTACTACATAGAAAAAAATAAAAGGATGTAAAGCAAATGCTGGAGATGTCTGTAAATTTTAGAAGTACAAAGACTTGACCTCACTAAAAGCAACATTTAGGAAAAGACCCAAAGGGATTATTTAGTTATCTTAAGAACTTTACAAGGCATTTAACAAATTGATTTTGTTTTGCTTTGTTTCATTTTTGAGATATGGTCTCACTGTGTAGCTATGACTGGAACTCAAGTTGTAAACTAGCCTGGCCTCACACTCACAGAAATTCACCTGCCTCTGCCTTCTGAGTGCCACCATGCCTGGCTAAAAACTAATTTCTTAACTGATTTAAATTTTACTTACATGCTTTTTTTTAACCAAATGTCTGTGACACATGATATTAGCTACAAACACACGGAAGCAAGACAGAATTAATGTTGAATGCCCACCAGTTACTTTGCTAGGTAATTGATAGACTTCTGGTTACTTCATCAAGAGTAACAGCTCAGCGGAGAGATGGGCATAGGCATGTTATTCTTGCAGGAGTGATGAATTAGTTGAAGTTGGATCAAAGATCTGCATGTACTGGATCTTTAGTTCCTCACAAGACAAATGCACATTCTTAAACCTAACAGAGGGGAGCCAAGAAGCCACTGCCTGTTCACAACTAACCTTGAGCTCTTTTCTGGACTCCGTCTACCCAACAATTCTGAGAGCCGTTCCTTTAAAAATGTTGTCCCTGGTGTGGGGAGACTGTTGAGGAGGCTCAGCAATGCTGTCTACATCTTAGACAGTTTACCTCAAAGTACCAAGTTTTGCCCACCGCAACAGCTGTCATGAGGATGCTGACGTAACATCCAGTCATCCAAGCATAAAACCGGAAGCGGGAGGAGTTAGGGCTGGGGTGGAGCCAGCGCCCGGAAGAAGGTAGGCGGATTTACGCGCAGCCCTGCCCATCTGCCCCTGCGCGATTCAGGAGCCACCCGGAAAAACGCTTGAGCTCCGGGGATTGCGCAGACGCACAGCCGCCTCTGGGCGGAACCGGGCGATCCGTGGCCTCCGTTGCCCAAACATCCTGTGGGAGAGGGAGGCCGTGGTCGCGGAGGTGCGCATGCGCAGGCCGTCTTCCCAGGCACCGGGGATCGCTGACGGGGACGGGGGCTGGGTCCGAGGAGAGCGGGCGCAGGATGGACGAGGACGTGCTGACCACTCTGAAGATCCTCATCATCGGCGAGAGTGGGGTGGGCAAGTCCAGGTGAGGCTGTGCGCGGCGGGCCTCGGCCTCTGGGCTGCGGGTTCTTCTCCCGGAACGGTCGCTGCGGCCCGATTGGCTCCGCCCCGGCTGGGCGCCGGGCTCAGGCCTCACAGGCCGGGTTCCTCCCAGCTAGGCGGCCGGGCTTGGGCCTGATCCCGCCGGGGCGATCCGGACCCCGCCGGCCTCTTACTCCCCCTCCCCCCCGAGTTCAGCCTGCTTGTCACCCCTAGAGTCCGGTCGGCTTGTCACCCCTAGAGTCCGGTCGGTCTGTCATTCCTAGAGTCTAGCTTGCCTGTCAGCGCTAGAGTCCAGCTGGCCTTTAACCATAGAACCCAGCCGGCCTGTCACCCCTAGACGCCAGCCAGTTGTCACCCCCGGAGCTGAGATCTATAATAACTATCATTCTGCGATTTCAGTACAACTGTCCTTCAAATAATTGATGTTCTACGCAGAAACTTGGATGACGTCTTAGGTCACGTTCCTGGTTTATTTTAGAGCAATCTTTTGTTGTATATTTTATCTATTTGTCTGTCTATCTATCGTCTATCTATAGTAGTTCGCAGTGAAAGATGGTAACTGCTTGACAATGTCTTTTAAGGCACTGGGTCCTTTAGCAGTGAGCCACCTTTAAGTGAGATTACTCTTGGTTTTCCACATCATAAAAACAGGAAAGGAAAAATACTGTATTGTCTCTTTTGCTTTGACTCTTTCTTAGGGGAGGATTATGTTGACAGTAGAGTTGTGTATTAGGTCAGAGGTGGACCTAGGTGGGTGTTGCCAGAGGGTTATGATTTCTTCCAGGTCTGAACAAAGTTCCCCAGATGAAGTCATCCTTGCCCTCTGGATTAAAAATAAATGTTATTTGAGTGTCTCTTTATCTTTAAACAGTATTTAAATCCCAGAAAGCTATTAACAATTTCATGTATGACTTTACCTTGCATGATCTTTCAAATGACTTTAAAGCATTTCATAAAGACTTAAGATTTTTAGGTACTTAATTATTTTCAAGCTTACTAAATAAACCAGAATCTTTCTGTATTTTTAAAAACTTGGCAATCTGTTTTCATAGTTTGTTCCCCTTTAATGTGTACTTCTGGTGTCCCATAGTGACATACTTCTCAACACCAAGGAACGAATTAAAGGACTCTATGACAATAGATTGGTGTGTGCTAAAGTAACTAATAGAAACTTTATGAATCCTCTTTTTGTACATGAGTGTTAAAAAGTTTGTGTAATGAACATCGTTTTACTAGGAATAATACACTTTCATGATCTTTCTTTTCTCCATTTTTACTTGAGAAAAAAACCCACATCAAGTTTGTTTTGTTTTCTGTCTTTTGAAGTAGAATGTTTCTATGTTATAGAGGCTGGCCTGGAAAGTTTTATGTCACCTAGCTGGTCTCAAATTAGGAATCCTCCGCCTCCAGCCTTCAGAGCACAAAGATTACAGGCATGTATCACCATGCTTAGAGCTTGTTTTTGAAATCAAGAATAACAGGTTGTCATCTCAACCCAATATGTGGTTGGCTGAGACAATGATGGGTGAAAGTGAGGATTTTAGAATTTTCTAGAAGGTTAACTGGAGGCACAGTTGACTATATAACTGGTGTTCCCCTTGTAGTATTGTTTTTATTTTATTTAGTTTCTTGAAACTGAAGTTACATGTCTGAATTGGGACTTGCTATGTATGTCAACAACAGTTGGCCTGGTATTTACAACCTTACCTCAGCCCCTCAAGTGCTAGGATTATAGGCATGTTATACCAGGCCTGATCCTTATTGCACCTTTAAAGTGTGTTGAGTGGATTTCTCTCCTTAGTCACGTCTTTAAACAATATTGAGTCAAATGTACTTTAGTACTTAATGGTGAATTATGAGTTGCCCACTGAAAAACTTTTAACATTTTAGCTCATTTAAAACCAGCATAGTGGTGTGTACTTTTAATACTAGCATTTGGGAGGCAGAGGCAGGCAGATCTTTGAGTTCAAGTCCACCCTGGTCTACAGAGTAAGTTCTAGGACTACCAGGACTATACAGAGAAACATTTTCTTTAAAAACCAAAACAGCAATAAACCAGTATTAGATTTAGGGTGCTCGAATATTGCTCTGCGATACAGTGTGGAAAATAGCCTTGACTGCTCTTCTTTGTGGATATAACAAGAATAAATGACTATCATGATAGAAGCCTCTGCCCTTTAAGGCAAATTGGTACAGAAACGTTTGTCGTAGACATGATCTTGAAGGGTTGTTCTAACAGTATTTGTTAATGGTTTTTTGCTCTTTTTTACAGAGCTAGACCAAGTGACGTGGCAGTGGGTTGTTGAGAAATTGTATAATCTTAATCTGAACAAGTGGAAAGTTGCTGTTAGAAAGTTGCAGTAGACATGATGTGAGGATTCGTGCGTAGCCTTGTGTATGATACTTGAACAGTGTAGTACTCCATTGGAGAGCCACACTGGAACAGAAGGCCTGCGGACACTTAACGGTACTATTAAAGGCTATGATTTGGTGGCTCAGCTCGGTGAAGTATAAGTGTAGCAAAGTGTATCAAGTGCTGGAATGAATATTATGTAAATTGCTATCCCTTCAACACTTCTTTCCTTCCCATTTTCTAAGTGGAAGTAAGAAATATAGATGAGTTATAATCATAGTATTTCTGTATTGTTTTTAATTTTTAATTTTTATTTATGTATTTGTGAGTGTAGGTCCCCTGAGAGGCCAGAAGGAAGGTATCTGCTCTCCTGGAGCTGGAGTATTAGGAGGGTGAACTACTGGATGTGGGTGCAGGGAGTGGAATGGGTGCCCTTAACTGCTGAACTATCTCCCCAGTCCTTCTGTTTTTATTTTTTTAGTGTTTTAGATAATCACTCTTAGCTCAGGATAACATGGAACTCACTGTAACCCGGGCTGGCCCCAAGCCTCAAACTTGGAATAGTCCTTTCTCTTTCTTTTTTTCCCCTCAAACTTGGAACAGTCCTCTCCCCCCCCCCTTTATCTTTTTGCTTTAGCTTTCCAAATTCTTACATTTCAGACATGCATTCCCCATCCCCTATAAAAAGCCCCTGACTTCTTCACACTATTATAAATTTAGTATTGTTTACATGGCATACTCTTCTATCTGTAGTTCTACATGAAAAATATTTTCCTCTTTTAACTTTGAAAGTAGGAATGCTTGTGTTAGTTTACTGTGTAAGAACAGTGAATTCTTACACTTTTGTGTATTTATTTTTTATCTTTCTGATCTTTTGCGTGTGTGTATGTGTGTGGTTCATATACTCAGTGTCCCATAACTTATGTTGGAAGGAAATAAAAGTTTATGTCCAGATGTTAAGGAGAAATTGCTGAATTTTGACTGCTATTTGTTACCTTGACTATATTTTGTCTGTTTTGTAGGAAATAAAACAACAAAACCAGGAAAAAGGGAGTTTTTTTTGTTTGTTTTGTTTTAACTATAATTGATAGTGCTGTGCTTGAGACTACCAGAAGATGTTGTGGTCTATGGACACATCACTCGCTGCAGTAACCACAGCCATAGAATCTTCCTCAGGGCTCTCACTCAGACTCTGACTGGTGGAACAGTGCACTTCAGGAAGTAGTGTGCAGGAGGTGATTAGCGTTGTAAATGTGGGGCGCTAATGAAAACCTTACAGAATTTATTCTCAGAGAGCCTCTAGGAGGGGCCACTTGCCAGTGAGTAAAATGTGCTGGGACCTACAGAGCCACAGTGGACCTTTCTAGTCTGTCAGTGCTTCCTTTTATCCATTCTTTGCTACTTTCTTACCTGTATGCTATTGTTAGAGTTTGCTGTGCTTCTACATCTTTCTGTTTTTGTTTAATCAGAGTGAAATAATGAGCTCTTATGATTTTAAGAGACTGTTGTTCCCCCACAGCATGAGATGTTGCTGTGTCTTTTTATTAGAAGAGTGTACCAATACAGACTGGAACAAAAAGCAAACCATTGACTCTTTAGGAATTGTGTAGAAGAGCAGACGGCATATATTAGTATATTCCTTTAGTCTTGGGAGTCTTAGAAATTTACAATTCAATTACTGCTTTTTCTTTTTTTTTTTTTTTTTGGTTTTTCGAGACAGGGTTTCTCTGTAGCTTTGGAGGCTGTCCTGGAACTCACTTTGTAGACCAGGCTGGCCTCGAACTCACAGAGATCCGCCTGCCTCTGCCTCCCGAGTGCTGGGATTAGAGGCGTGCGCCACCAATGCCTGGCTCAATTACTGCTTTTTCAATACCGTAATTCCCCTGCAGACCTTCATCAGCTCTTCTATCTGTATCTAAGTAGTCAGTCATTGTCATAAAATATAGCAGTTGTGGCGTATATGTCCTATGATTAGAAATAGAAAGATAAGGTCCTAACCTGTCTTTAATTCTCTTTTAGCCTACTCCTGAGGTTCACAGATGACACCTTTGATCCAGAACTTGCAGCAACAATAGGTGAGCTAAGTTTACAAGTCCAGTAGAAATGCCACATACTGTTATACCTTTGGGCTTTGTTTGGCTTTGCCCCTTCACTTCTCAGACCCTGCATTGTCTGTGGAGACCTTGTGTGTGAGACTTAGCTTTGGTGTCCATAAAGCCTTGTCTCTCATCTTGTGCTATTTCCTTAGCACTACTGATATGATGGTTTGTATACACATTTCATTCCCATACTATGGATTGTTTTTATTCTGCATCAGATAGTAGTAACTTAATATTTACTGTCTTCCAGTCACT